ATCTTAGGTGGAGACCACTTTTTTCACTTGGCAGCACAGGTGTTGTTTTTAAAACTTTGTTTCAGTAGCCATTCTAAATTGTTGGTACAGCTGTTGTTACTCTGTACTGCAATCAGCTGTTTGCTCAGCTGAGTGTTTTTATTGTATTTAGGAAAATTTTCAAGAAAAACTCACGGACAGGATATAGCACTTTAGGCACTTCAAGGAACACAATTAAATTTAAGCTAGAGAGAAAATGAAAAGTGCTGTAGCAGAAACTGACAATTTTTTCACCTTCATGTGGGGGGGTGATATGAAACTGTCAGAGACAGAAGAACTGAACAAGGACGGAAGATAAGAGGCACTGACAACTTTTTCCTAACTTTCATTTTTTAAAGAATTAAAAGCATAATGTCATGTAGTCTTGGTAAGACAGGATTTCTGCTCTGTCACTTTTTATACCTTTTCCGTAACATAGTGCTTCATTTGTATTTGTGAGTGGCACTTCTCTAAACAGCATCAGCCAGGCATCTGTCACATTGAAATAGTTCTACACTCTTCTGGCTTGGTATCTCTCAACTTGCTCTCATCATATATTTTTTGTAAGCTGTTTGGATGGCGTGACAGTCTGGTATACATATGAGCTCTCAGTACACTGTTTCAACAAACCTTAATTTGGCCTTTTTTAAAATTGGGTTTGAATAAAATATAATTACATAAAAATAACCCAATACTTTTAAACCGTTGAAAAAAGTGTGGTGTAGGTTTGAGCTTAGTTGTTGAATGTAGTTCCCACCACCCATTCTTAATGACATATATGCACACTGTCATGCTCATGTATTGTTCAGTGCTCTTTTTTCAAGAAAGCAAAAAAATTACTATGGGTCAGTGATAATGAATAGTTTCTGTTCTTTTTTCCCAGGAATAAAAAAAATGACTATGAGTATGAGTCAGTAATGATGAATGGTTCCATGTTCACGATCAGACAAGCAGACTTAACAGAAGAATGAATGAATATATAATATACTCATATCTTGATCTTGTTCTCCACTTTACATGCAATTGCTGCCATTTCTGAAAGTACATAGTGTTTTGGTTCACTGTAGCCAGTTGAAGGTCTTACTTGGTTACTGTTTGTCATTTTCTTCTTTTCTTTTCAGACCAAATGTAACACATGTTGTTACAGAATTCGAAAGTGTTGAACAAGTTGAAAAAGTCCTCAAAAAAGAATGTTGGGAATTACCTAAGACTGCCCTTTTGGTTGTGATAAAATGGTTAACAGAATGTCTGAAGGCTTCTAAAATTATTGATGTTCAACAAAGCCACAAACTGAAACGGGTAAGTAAGGCGATGGACATTAGATTTGCTTTCACATGGGTTAACCGATGTAAAATTGTTGTTAACTTTTCAAAATTACATTTGTCGGATTTTAAAAAAATATACGTCTGCAAGGTCCTTGACACAATGTAGCCTAGCTACTGATCTAGCAGAACTTTTCTATTTAAATTTATATTAAGTTCAGCTGGAGCTGTACATGTAATTGGTTGCTACTTGTTTTTTCCCTGCGCATGGCAGATCTAGATGAATCAGGACTGGTCACAATTTGTCTCTAGTCTCTACCACTTGTCAAGATGACAATTGGTGTTATCCCGTTATACTACTGCTAGCCCTGGTAAACTGCCAACTTCATGTTTGTCCCAAGGCAGACAGTATAACGGGGTTTGACTGTATCAGTATTACTTGTGATGCTTAGAAAAAATGTCTATGTGAACATAAAGAATATGTCGGGTATGTTGCTTCTTTTCATTTAAGAATTTTCCAGGTCTTGAAGTATTTTTTCTACTTTTGCAGACTGAAGGAACAGAATCAGGGGACAAAGAGGAGGATAGTAACCTTACCGTTCCTGAATGGGCTTGTCAGAGGGTTGCCAGACTTGTGCACCTTAATAAAAAATTAACAGTAAGTTTGTAGCCGATACAGTGCTTTTCTGCCTTATATTATACAGTGGAGTCTGCTAAAACTGAAATCTGTGGGACTGCCAAATTTTCTTCAGTTTTGCCTGGTTTTCGGTTTTGACTCGGAGGTTGGTCAAATAGAAGAAGAAAAAAAGGATCAGGGATTTTTATTATCTTTCAGTTTGTTGATATTTCTGGATTAACCAAGTTCAGTTTTAGCGGAC